GATCAACTCCCCCCCTACTCCATTTCTTACCCCATCCTGTCTCCTAAATCCCTTGTCCTCACTAAACATATTCATACCAGAAGGACGAGCGGGCACTGCCTGGGAACCTTCGTAGCCCCAAACCAACTTTATACCCCTCCCCCATTTATAACAGTAGTGACTATCGCTACTCCCCCCACTTTCCCTTCTCTCTCTCTCTCTTCGAAGGGCTAATCGTGGAGCTTCGTTTCTACACGTACCACAGTTATATGGACCTGCATTTATTTTTGAAGTTCACAAAACCCAGATATTTTAAGCATAGTGTATAGTTACCAGCACACTGGGTTCGCAAAGTTTCCAAGAACAAATTAGCAAATTCTTAACATTAACGTTCTAACTTGGCCTTACATTATAACGTACCTGTACGGATACCCAACGTAAATAAATGGTTCTTATAGTTATCTTGAATTCAACTGCAGTGCATTGAAATGTAAGCTTAGTTTCTCTTCATCGTCTTCTACTCTCGCTCCTTTTCTTGTATTTGTGTACTAAAAAACAGACGCTAAAAACAAATGGCTGACCCACGCCAACTCCTACAGGTGCAAACAACGGAATTTAATGTCTTTGTGTTATGAAAGATGTGCTGACCCACCATTAAGACGTTCAGAGTTGAAAGGGTAACTGGAAGTCTTTCTGACGTGCGCGAATTCATATGATCCGTTGCTCAAAGGTAAATATAGCGTTTTCACGCGTGTCGTTGGGCAAATAATTACATCAGAATGACGCAAACTTAACGATTTGTTTACAAGCGGAATTTTCACCACGACAATGCGCTACGTCACATATAATTTCTGGTACGTAAATTCATGACACTACGCTAGGTGACAGTGATTCTGTATCCTTGAAACTTTTCGCGTAACCAAGGATTTCAAGGTCATTTGAAAAGACGCCGAAGTGACACAGTCTCTTATATTTTTCCACTCCAGCCGAATTCAATTGATGTCCGCAAGAAAGAAATCGTAACTTTAGAAGCATTAATCGGATGTGTTTTGTGAAAACGGCGCTCAACACAAATGAAGGACCAAGTACCCACAAACTAGAATTTTGGCGCAATTATTGCGACCACTAGTCCTTGAATGTCAAATATTAAGTCAGTAACCAACTGCTGGTAATAAAACCCAAAGGTTCCAAATCGCCAATGCCTAGCCAAGCCCGCCGTTGGGTACATCCTCTGCTAGTGCAATTCAGTTCATTTCCTCAATATTTCTCAGCGGTTGGCACGCCACCTGTAAAAATGCGGATCGACTATTTATGAACGAAAAGACGCACAGGCATTCCCTGGCGTTTTATTAATAGGTACAAGCTGGTTCATAACAATCGGGCCGAATATTTATTTTCGGCTTAAGCAATTAGGTCTAAAGGTGTTTTAAACAACAAACTGTAGAGGAGAACCATGGAACGAAGAGGAAGCAGCAGGGTAAAGGAGAAGTTTGTACTATCAGGAGCTTCGTCATCTGTACATTTCACCTAAACATTATAAGGATTAATAAACCAAAACTGGCGAGATGGGCAGGACGTGCAGAAAACATCGGGAAGCGATTACGACACACAACATTTTAGTCTGAACATTTCAAGAACAACAATCTAGGTGCAGGCGGAATAATAATAATATTAAAATTAATCTTAGAAATATGATGTATGAAGGAGTGAACTAGATTAAACTGGCATAAGATACAGTGCAGTGGCGGGCTGGTGTGAACATGGCAATCTGGTATCAGAGATGTATGAAATTTCTTAATCATTTAAGTACATGTCCTCTTTTCAAGAAAAATCTTGCACGATGAGGCGAATGAGTTGGATTAAATAATTAATGAAGACTCATTTGAATGAAATGTAATATTGGGCTCATATATTCATCATCTCTGACCACACATTTTAAATACAAGAGCTACTTGCCTCGTTCGTTGCGTAAGTTCACTTCAGCTGAGTAATTACAGAAATTGGTGTAAACAGACCTCAACCCTGCAGTAAAAAGACATTTAGAAAACTGAGGAGTTGAAATAAGACTTGCAAAGAACGACTCTTTCATTTGGACAACAGGTAATCATTAGAAAGCGGAACACAGGCTTACAAAATGCGATTCTACAGCAGTTTCTCAAATTTCAAATTTTGCCTATTTCAGGTATGAGTCATTTTCAACAGCCTACATTTCCTAACACGCAGCCATTTAAGAGCGCAGCAGTTCTTGAATTTGAACTAATTCAGTGAAACACATGCACAACATCCGACCACAGCAAGGTTTGAAAGCTGGATTTCTAAACTTCAAATGTGGTTACATCTCAGTACGTACTTATGTGTATGATCATGTAAGATAAAATTCTACCCACGACTAAACATCACACCACGAAATGGTGGAAAATCAAAATAAAGATAGACGTGAGTGCTCAGATTCGCGCCCCGGCCGATTCACAGCGTGTATCTTCTGGACAGAAAATGGGCTCCAGAGTCGATGGGGACGTGATGGCGGAAAGAAATATCCCTGCCTCCAGGAATCAAACCTCGGTCGTTCAGCTCACGTCACTTTATTAACTCCGCTATTCCAGAACTCAAGGCATGTGTGTGTATGAATGCATGCTTCGTAGCAACCTAAAATTGTCACGGCGAAGCTATAAGAACCTGTACGTAGCGAAATGCAGCGGAATGCAGTGCAAACCTTCTGATACAAGACATGCGTTCGTACATCTATCCTTGAAGTTCTGAAATGCAGCGCAAACCTTCTGATACAAGACATACGTTCGTACATCTATCCTTGAAGTTCTGAAAAGGCCTCGAAATATTATCCGACACTCAAAAGTTGTCGGGGCACTTAGTACGATTACAAAGGGCCGTGCCATATCTGTGGCGGTTCGTCGCAGGCTTCTCACAACGGAAAAACGGGTTCGCGCCTAGGTCAGTCGATGTAAGATTTCTGGAGGACAAAGCGGCACAGACAGGTTCTTCCCCGACTCCTTCGGGGTCTCCCGCTGTCATTCCACCGCTACTCCACATTCAATCATACACATTATCTGGGAGACGAGGAGGGACCGTCAGAGGCCTAGATAAACAGTGATTAAACAGGGCAGATAAAAGAACTCATGCCTAGCAAACCAAAGGACAAGTGACCAGAAGCATAAGACGGAAAATCAGAAACACGTGTTGATGATCCATTCTGGCTAGTAGGAAGTAAACGTTGGGAACCAATGCCTCAGAACCATTTCACTCAAAGCAAGCAGCAACGTGTCGATGACAACCTGACATTACTGGCCTACTTTTTTATCTGCCTACTGGAGGTAAAACGTGTCTGTGAAGTACAATGGTACTTTATCACTCTGCCAAGGAGTTCCTGGCTAATAGTTGACAAGGCTGTCGTTTTGTGTTGATGAACTGCTATTGTAGACTGGAAACGGCATCACATGTGTATAAAGAAGGCCTGCTACAATTGCATCCTTCATTCCGTCGCCCCACGAACATCAAATTTTTTCAGGCCATTTGATTCCACAAGCATTACGCACAAGACAGGCCAACTTTTTCTTGAACGGATACAGCCCATTTAATTTCATTAGCTCTCTACTAGCAGTGCGACCATTTGACACATCTAACACCCAAGACCGCCGCAAGGCACGTGCCGAAGTCAGTTCCAACTACAACTGACGTCACAACCTCTACCTCTGCTTCAGAGTGACAATGGAATGACGAAGTAACTCAGAAACAGAACAAAGAAGTTAATTCTTGGCTACATACGAACAACTATTTTATGACTATGTGCTCGTCTGCGTGGTTAATGTTTACGACGGGTTACAGTGAAGTTCAGATGACAGAATGAAGAAAGGACAAGGAACAATAATAAAGAACGTCTCGCACCGAGACGAAGAAGCTGAAGAGATGAGAAAAATACCTGAGAGGCCAATGGACTGAATCAGATCACAATAGGGCCCAACGATGAGCTTTTGTCTTGGGCAATGCAGACTTCGTGGTTCCATATCAGTAGTTCTCATACAATCAAAGGGACAAAGATAGTAGATCGGCAAGTAACTGGGCTCTGCAAATGCATATTCTTACTACCAATATTAACAAAACTTGAGGTCGCATCAGATTGCCATACAGATAATTTTAACCATTTCAGAAGCGGATAAAGAGAAGCACTGGTATCCCCGATTTAATATCAACAAATTTGGCGTTAACACTATTCCACAATTTTTCATTTACAACCAGGTAAGACTAAAAACTAAAGAAATAAGCCTAAAACGGAAGGTTAGTAACGGCTAAAATAAATTACATTGAACTAAAATGAATTCCCTTTTTTAAAAAGAAACGTTATCAGTGAAACAACACGCACGTGAAGTCTCGAGTTACGTCACCAGTCTTGGGAAGGCAACTATCGAGTACAAGGGTCGAAGGTACCAGTTTTCAATTTAAGCTGTTCACACCTGTTTGGTTAATTAACGTAACGAGTCTGAACGTATACTGCCTCCTATCACGACTCTAGTCAACATCACTTTATTATATACCTTACATGTATCTGTTGCTCTGGCAGTCAAACCAGGAATGAGTATAAACTGTGCAGTCAGTGGGCTAATCACTCACTACTCACAAATGCACGCTTCAAAAGACCAAGAAACCTCCTAAGTGGGGAGGCCATGGCCCGAAAACGGTACGATGCAACACATATGATCATGACATGTACCTATAAGCCAATGTACGCACGATATATTTCCAATCGCCTACTACTAACAACACGTGTACACATAAGCGCAGTATTTAAATTTCCGGGGAATTCATTTTCATTAATGACTTCTCGCTTATCGCACAATGTAAAAAGAAGCGCCCATTTCGTAAAACGGGTATCAGTGTCGGGCTAATTTACAGCGGTCACGTAAACCTACAACAAGACCTTGATGGAATGTCTGTTCCTCACTCCGGGTGAGAACACGCGAAGCAATTAGTCTACATACATTTTGGCTTCATTTGAATAGAACTCTTACCTGATAAGCTGGAGTGTTCTCCTTATCGCGCGTACTGTTGATGGCGATATTCTTGGGTACGTTCATTATTATTTCATCCTTGGAAATAACGTGAACGCTAACTAGCTCCTTCTGCCGGGCGCAGTCATTCTTCCTGACACTAAGGAACTTGTTTTTGAGCAACAACGCCAGTGCACATGAGCCGGCAGCTAACAACAGAGACAAGGTGTTGATACTTCCCCGACTTTCGTTGTGGGCAAGGTAAACACTTCCCACTAGTTCTATGAATTAACTGCCTGCGTGGAGAGGAACTTATTCAAATGCTTCGATGTAGTTTGGTGCCAGGTTCCTAATCAAGGCATTTATCATCTCCTCCTCCAGGGGACCTACATACGATTTCGTAACATCCCAATCTTAACACCCTGAGAATCAATTAATTTTTAACTTGTCTGACATCTTTTGGGGCCTATAAACTCTGTTCAGTCGCTGCAAATAACCGCTAGCTTTTTTGTTGAAACATTTACCTACAGAATTTCCTCACGACGCTTTCTGGCTCCGGTCAATTCAGAACAGCCCCATACGACTTGGGAGTAAAGATTACTATCCAGCCTTTACCAACACATTGCGACTTATACCAGCCCATTTAGCAAATATAAATGCTTAGCATAGTTAATGTTGCAGGCGTTCTGAACCTGAAAACGTAAACCGAAGGACGCTTCACGACCACACGACACGTGCCACGTCTCCTAAACCAACATCACAGAAATTTCCAGGAGTCCTTAGCAGAAGCTGAACATACGAATGCATTACGAGAAAAGAACGCTCAAAACTTGCCCTTCTAGTCTGTTCTCAATCTGTAATATCCTCTGCATTTCCGCATCATTGTAACAATGTCTGGTCTCAATGTAACACTTGCTTCACCAAGAGTCAAACTGTTTCATAAGGGAACAGGATTAAATTTCATAGCATTCCCATAATACACAAGGCCCTCTTCCTCGCAGTAAAACGGTGGAAATAAGAATGCTTAAAGCGTACACTAGCAGCATTCTTGCAGTTCAAGTCGAATTCTATCACTGTCTCAAAATTGACTTCGGCTACACACAAAGTGCGTGCACATCACGAAATATATATCACGTAAAAATTTAGAAATTTCATCTGGAACATTAGAACTACTCAATGTGTTGTGCATTTAACAAGATACAGAATTATAAATAAATTAATATTAATGAACAATGAAACATCAGCACAGCCTGATGTGATGACGAAACAGGGACGAACAAGATGTAACTACTGCACACTTTGTGAACTACTGCTGCATTTTAATTTAATATGCACACACCAACTGAGAAATACTTATCTAATAATCCAAACAGCGAATATGAAAAATTTGTAAAACAAATTGAAAATAGCCTATCACACCAAATGTTATACTAATCGGGCACAGTTGTTGGACTCTACTCCCTCTTGATCTTCTTATACAGAACGCCTGATAAAATCACATACGTAATTATCGCAATGAAATTTAGTCAGATAAATAAATGTACGAGTTCGTATGTTATACACAAGCGCAATTGACAGATGTTAACTGCCAAGTAGTAGTAGTATACAGACTTTCAGTTCAGAAGCCCGCCTATGAGTTTTCTGCTGCTCGCGTACATTTTTTGTAACGCTGTCAGCCTGCATGATGTAAATTAGTTACCTGATATCAGAATGAAACTATCGACGTGAGGAACTGTTCAGTTTAAATGAGAAACATCAAGTCGAGAAATGAACGCCTCTTACTGAACACTGGGAAGAATGCAAATCGCACTAACGCAAATTAAACCTGTTACCGAATGACGAATCAAGCAAAAGCACAGTCAAATATCACAGGAATGACGAGTTTGTAAAAGTTAATTCAGTAGGATTATAATATGAACCTGACTGCAATACTAGACCTATTGTAACAGTAATTAAAAGTAACTCATGGTGAATCAATATACTATCCTCTCTATGGTCCGCGAGTCGGTAAGACAATATGAATATAGCCCTGAGCCTGGAAAAGGTTTAAAACCCCTGGTTTATAGAATGAAGATAAAATTGTTGAGTGCAAATGAAATGTGCGTCGAAATTGCAAACTTTTCACGGCAGAACTTCAAAAAAGAAAATTTTCCCTCGACACCAAACCATCAAGGAATTCAAATGCAAATACCATATAACTTATGGGGAGTATCCACTAGTCATCGTCTGTCTTCCCTTAATGCTAGAAATTATATTGATAACAATATGCATATTCCGCTAATACTCTCACATGAATTTGGAATTTTGAAATTTCAATCAAATTCTTAAGCCAGATGTACGTATTTGAAAGTCAATACACACTTTTACAGACTTATATAAAGTTTTATAAAGTATATTTACAAAGAGAATACGATGTCAACAATGCGTTGTTTTTCAAGTTACATTTGTGGTTAAACTCTATCAATCGTACTAAACCGGGCACTTTACGGGGCTAGAAACAGCAAATGCCCTCAGAATATCTTCAGAACACAACAAACCTACACTGAAAACGTTGAGGAGCAATTATAAACCACTATCGGTGCTGACTGGTCTGAAAACGTATTTCTATTTGGAACACATACTGACAACTGCATCCTTCACATTGTATTCCGCTGATAACGCTATTATACCATTAGAATGTAGCCTACTGGCAAGCTGAGGCGTCTGTCAACTGGCTAACGTGACAAAGCAATGCATATGAAACTGATGGCAAAACAAATATTAACGGAACAAAAATATTCGTCACATCACTGATTAAAATAATCTAAATATGCACCATGATGACACAACACGGTCTTCCAGGAACTAATACAGCATCGACGTTAGACTAGAATCAAGTCACCAACACCTGCCCGACGCCAAGTCCTACACTCCACTACTGACGACTACTTCAACTTTCACTCACCGTGGGGCGCACCTGAGCGAGCTGTTACCAACATAACCAACATAAAAGTAGCAAATCAAACGTCCTTGACGGCTACAGCTGGCGACTACAGACAGACAAGTGTTGTTTTCGTTTTCAAAACTATTACAGGAACGTCTGCATATTTGTTCCTACACAAATTGTTAAACTGCAATCATACAAGACAACACAGCTTGGCCTGTATGACGGGGTGGACGACAGATTCCCGACAGGGTCATTACGTCGAAACCAGCTGGGGCTCAACCTACCCTATCTGCAAATTTACCCAGGATTAAAGATGCCGAAATATGAAGCTAATCTGAGCTTAGGAGTACTCCCACGGTGCTCATGCACCAGGCAAACTTCAAACAAATCAAGGTCCTTCGGCAGGCACATGATCCTTTCAGAGTTCGAATCTCGGCTGCAGTATGGAAGTTTGGTAAGCGTATTTTATTGCCAATGTGTAATTTTCTGAACACAGAGAGGTCTTGAGATGGTCTCATCCTTCTCCAAAGCAGTTGCGTCACATCTCCATAAATACTCGTTGTGTCAGATTGATTCTGAGACTGCGGATGCCACAGCCACGAATCCGTTGAAACAAAATTGGTTAAGATCAGAAGATACTCGTTAAAACGAGGCTCGGCGGGCCCCAAAGTCGGCATGGGCGCAATGGCGACGATACGAATCTCTGCCTTTGTGGTAATTAAATCCATGCGATGAAATTAATAACCACACCTTCAAATATACCCCAAATTCACGCATGAAAGTTCAAAGTACTCTTCCTCATATGAAGACGCTTTGATCTTATCATATATATAAAACGAAAGCTCTCTTACCTTTCAAGATGTGTGGTGGAATTTATCCGCTGTTATCCCTGTGTAAATGACACTTTTAGTAAAATAAATTGCAATTTTTTGGAATGCATACAGGCTGATACACAGTGTTCCAAAACGAAGTACACACACACACATATATCAACCTTGTCAGTTTCTTGCCGCTGTGAAATATGCCACGAAGCTAACGGTGGTCGTTTTGAACACCAACACTACATTAATTAATTCATAAAGTGCCAGTTGTCTAGTTATTACATCCAAAGGAATTATGAAGGCTTCTCGAACAGCTCGGTCCCTATTTCGTACTCGGTAAGTCCTTGGTTCAAATTCCAGTTCAAAGGACGACTATCCTAACAAATTAAGATTTGAGGTTCTCTGGGCGGAGAGTACGAAGATGGCTGTCTTCTTGGTTGTAACTCTCTGTAGTCTGGTAGAAATTTACTAACGTTTCAGAGGTTCATGCTGCCTCCATCATCAGGGCGTTGAGTGTGGGATCTTCGCCGATAAGTCCAGCATGTAGTTAGTTGTTATTGAATTCTTTGTTGCATGTAACCAAAAATGTCGTCATTACAATGTTCTCAAACGCTACTACATCCTGTTCAGAGCCTGTTCAATACAGCCAACCACTTCACAACCTCCTTCCCAAAGGGAAATTTTATTATCAGCCTCCAACTACGCTTGTAGTAACCAAATGCTGTCTTCTTTAAGAATTTACTACAAAGGATTCGTTTGGATTTCTGGAGCCTTCCTTCCTCGTGTTTCGTTAAAATGGCCTGTTCATCAAACAGAAAAATGTTTCAGCGCCTGTAGATATTAAGACGTCAGCTTTCTGTTATCATTTGTCGACGTTCCGAACCATGATCCGCTTCTCGAGACACCGACGATGTTCAATTTGGGTTTAATGCAAAGTTTGGATTATATTGGGCTCGTTGTTTTCTAATTTTGCTTGATGATTAGATGAGGAAAAAATGCAACATACAAATTTAGGCCTTTCAAGCAATAACACACAATTACAAGTCAGTTTACGAGTTGGTGCGACGAAACTGTATCGAGATACACATGCAATATTTCTACGCCGTATAAAACGTATGCTATTGTGTTCTAGGAGAAAATTCCGAAATGGACGGCAAGGTTATCAGGTTAGGAAATTGAAACATGAGTGTTGTGAGATAAAGTTGATGCTGCGACCGCCAGATGTTGGGCCAACTTCACATCTCATATTACAACAAGCCTATAAACGCGATCAACCATCACGCCCCCCGGTTACTCACACAAGAGAATGTAAGAACACGTTAGAGTTAAAAAGAAAATAATTTTTGTATGTCCTCTGCCTGAAATCCATCAAATGACCGCATAATCCGGTGTTATTTACGCTCAAGCCTGAGTGAAGAACACATAATGGACCCATCCATGTCACTCGTTCTGTCGCATTTTTCCTCGAAACTAGGCAGGTCTAATGACCCGTGGACATTGTTTAAAACACACTGTTGCAACAAATGGAACCGACGCCGCTGTTTGGCAAAACAATGAACTTTAAAACCAATGCTGCTTTTGATAAAATTATTGCGTTTGTTATTCCTTTCGAGTGAAAGCGATACAAGTCCACATTTCCTTTGTGCCGTGGTTATCAGCGAAGCAACCCGCCTACGTCACCGCCCATGTCTAGTTTGAAAAACATCATTGGAAATTCAGTGCACTCCAATCTTGTGTGAAAGTCATATTTGTCGGTCCGCCTAAATGTTTGATATCCGAAAATACCGAAAGGATTCGATGGAATTCGGTATTGGACCGTCTACAGCAATGGTTCTTGGCGATTTAATTTTGGTTCACATCAGTCCAATAATCCCTCCTTTACAAGTGGTCAAAAACAAACGAACAAACATTTTCATGTTCCCAAATCCTGTTACCATAACTGAACTCTACCCTTATTGCATATGGAACTTCATAAACAAAGAGAACGTGTATCTTAAGCCACCCGAGGTACGATGCGGGATACATCTCCAAAAACTCGAATTGGCTAGCCCCACCCACCCAATTGGCAAATTCATCGCCCTGATGACGGAGGCAGTATGACCTCTGAAACGTTGGTAAACATCGACCAGACTACACAGCGCAACAACCCAGAAGACAGAATTCTTCAACAGGCACCTTGATCACACTACATAAGCCTGTGGTAAACTCTACACCATTTGCAGTCAGGACACAACGCCACACCTATGACCAGCAATTTTAACCATTCTCGTTACACAAAACCCTCAAGTATAAAATCTCAAGGTTTCCGCATTGTCAGCATGTGCACAGGTTTGCTTGAAAGTAACACTACAGTTTCATATGCACTTAAACTACAGTTTTCGTATACTTTTACGTTGATATAACCAACGAGTGTTCTATAATCTATGAAACATGAAAGATGCAGAAAATGTCACCAGAAACAAGACGAAAAGTATATTTTTAAATATTCAGTAGTGTTACTTCTGAAAACCCCTGTATTTCAATTCAGTCGATTTAGCGCAGAACCTGACATAAAGAATTGGGAGTTAAAACGTTACATACAATCTAAACTGTCAAAAAGGCGATCGATTTATCACAACAGCCATCGAAGGAAATTGCTGACTTAAGTAAGGCAGAACAAATAACATAATGGACACAACTACATGAGGAGCTTCACGTAACACTACTTCGTACTGGGGAAATAAGAACTGCACACATAAATATTGGCTAAACATGTTAAGAGAACGCTTCCGAGGGCAACAACAAAAATTGGAATGATCGTACTTAAGTAGATAATGAACGAGCTTTAAAGATGTCAATTGAAATGAAGTGTCACAAGATAAGGCCAAATGACAATTTTTTGCGAACAGACTAAAGAACTTTCTTACTGTAAAAATGGGGAATTACTTGACCGGCCAGTAATTAACTACGAGCCTATCCTTCTTGATCCGATGAATAACACACAACTGTTACGAGAAGACTTTCCACCACGGTGTTAATTTTGCTTTTTTATCTCCGGAGAAAATTCCTCACTATATCTCGTGAGGTTGGGAAGACGAGAGATATTCATTCCCGATCAGCTGAACAACTAACTGTTCTGGAAGACTACCTTCTGTGGAATTAATTACCTCCGAAGAAAATTCCGTATTTTATATATATATCGAAGGACGAACGGCCATCGTAGTTTGAGTGCGTAAGCCATCCATTCGGTCGGTCATCAGACGAACGGGCGGTACAAGGTCATGCGTGGTTCTGCGAGGACCAAGGTGAGAGGAATCGCGAAGGAGGGACAGTAGGTGACAGTAAACAAAAGCAGGTCTACCACCCGCACCAACACATCCAGCGAGCTGGAGCAGATTTGGTGTGTTTTGAAAACTAGAAATGGAAGGAAAGTTTGCGGCACTTCTACAAACTTTCAGACATTGAAAAATATTTGACTAAACATCTGCCCGATTTTAATATGTCTCAAAATTTTAAAGGTTTACGATAAAGGTTCTTCCACACCTCAATTGTTTTCACTTCAAACAGGCAGTTTCCTGGGGCCAGAGCATTTGTGTTTACCGTGTCAGCCACATGAGGCAGGCAAACACTTTGAAAAAAAAAGTTTTCTGTTGAATATTCGAGGTTCGGTGGGACTCCCATACTCTGGTTCACATCAGAACCAATCAGATAAACTGCATCGTTGAAGAGCTCGAGCCAGCAAGTTGAGCCTGACGCTCGCGGGGAGGGGGATGGATGAATATGAATAACGCTGCATCTTTTGATCGATTCTATGTTCCAGGGCATGGAATACCACTGCAAAACATAGGACTTCTTATTTTTAGATTTTCAAGGTGTTGTCCGGGCTCTCATGGTTAACATGAAGCTCCGCCCCTGCATGGTAAAAATGTAGATTTGCTATTCTGTAAGAGCAGATAACAGCCTGCTCTGTCTCACTGGCGGAAACTGCTCTGTGGATGCCGTTGATGTTTCTTGAAAACAAATCTTGATCTTCGTTTGTTAATCACATGGCTATTCGACTTCTGTTTAAGGTACGTTTCAATGCAATATGCAAATGTCGGCCAGAGCATTAGTGGGGCATGAGCATCTTCTACTTGTCTCGCCAGTTCTCTGACGCTGCAGGAGGTGAGAGTGGTTTGCCAGGAGGCTGTAA